CCAGCTTCTAGTTGAAGACTTCCTGGCCTCCCTCAAGGTGGGCGTTCATAGCATCAGAGCATGAGGGGTACAAGTGGCATAAGAAGCTGATCTTAAGGAAAGGCGTTCCGAGAGGTAGCAAGGTCTCACATCCTTTGGGACGCCTCTTTGTAAGATCAACTTCCTATTTAACGGTGTAGCTCTTTTTGTATTTTATATTTTTTTATCTGTAGGTGGGTTCAGGTTACCTTCTTGATGTTTATTTCACTGTTGGAAACCATCCAAATTAGTGACTGTATGAACAGTATAGAAAATAAATAAATAAATCAAAACATGGTGTGGGGACTGATCAACTCAGTCTTTAAATATCTCAGTTGTCTTGAAAACCCTATTAGAATCAATGTATTCACAAAGGCTTTCACGTCGGGGATCTAATGGTTGTTGTGGGTTTTTCAGGCTCTTGGGCCGTGTTCTGAAGGTTGTCCTTCCTAACGTTTCGCCAGCCTCAGGTTTCTTACGTGGTCCTCTGAAGATGCCGGAGACTGGCGAAACATTAGGAAGAACAACCTTCAAAACACGGCCAAAGAGCCCGAAAAACCCACAACAACCTATTAGAATTGCTATAAATTGAATGAAACCTCATGGCACATAACATACACAAGAAGTTGACCACCAGCTTGATGTGAGTTGATTTCAGTCCCTATCTACTGAAGCCAGCACAGGACATAGAGAGCGATAATGGGAGTTGTGATCCAGCAACATTGAAAAAGGCGCATGTCATTTTTCTGGGTCTATCAGATCAAGATTAGACCAAAGCTCAAAGATTAGACAAAGATGTACAGCATTTGCAACATGGTGGTGGCCTTGGAAACAGAAAACTCCAGGACCACAGAGGTGGGCCATAGTGGCTCTTCAGCAGATGTTAGCCTGCTTTTCCCATTCTGCCTTGTTATTGCCTAGGAACCTGCCAGATCATTAAGACAACTAGCGGAGGCCATTCTCCTAGTCCCATCTCCCACACAGGTGCACTTGGTGGGGACGCAGGAGAGGGCCTTCTCTGTCGCTGCTCCCAGATTCTGGAGCTCCTCCGCCCTAGCTAAACTAGGCTGACCCCACCTTTGCTATCCTTCTAGAAGCAGGCAAAGACTTTTTCCTTCAGACAAGCTTTGCCTTAATTATTAGCAGCCTGAATGAGTTTTGTCAATGGATTGTTGTGCCTTCCTGCTTTTATTGTGTTTTGATGTTGCTTCCGTTCACCATCTTTTACTGTGGGATTTGTTTGATGATTGTTAGCATTTGTATACTTATTTTTAAAAAAAAACTTTAAATGCTGTCTTTGAATTATTTTAAGGGGTAGAAATGTTTGAAATAAACAAATTTTGGCTAAAACCTATGGGATGTGCAGGCCAACAACATCTGGAGTGGTTTATTCCAGCACTAGCGCCTCACTCCCTGGCATTAAAAAAAAAAAAGAAAAGCACTAATAAATAATTTGCGCCTACCCTGCCCTTAACAGTAGGGTGACTGTACGAGAAGCGTTGGCGCTCTGTAATAAAGAAGGAGGGGGGATTTAAATAAATGAAAGAGGATCGGTTATGCGCGCAGCCTCAAAAGTCCTTTTAACTTGGCAGTCAGCGGCCAGTCGTACAATTTGCCTCGTTGTGCATCGGATACACAATAGTTTGGATCGAGGAAGTAGCTGCGCACACACACACACCCAAATTCGATTAGGCTGTGTGTGTGGGTTTTTTTAGGGGGGGTTAGCTGCAACGGTGGCGGGGGGGGTTGGCATGGTCACACCGATCCGCGCCTCTCCGCCCGTCCGAGCAGCAACAGCAGCGGCTCTCGGCGAGCGCGTGAGATATATATATATTTTTTCTTAATGAGTGCAGCCTCGCAGGCAGCCAATCAGGAGCCGGGGGGTGGGCGTGGCTCCGGGTCTGCCCTGCTGAATGAGCAGGAGCTCGCGGGAGGTGGAGGGCGACAGTGTGGAAGGAGCTGCTGGCCGGGAGAGGAGCGCTCTTGCCCGGCTGCTGGGGAAGAGGACCCGGGGGGCGCAGTACAGACGGGGAGGGGGAAAAAGAAAGCCTCGGGATCGCTTCCCACTCTTTCCGACAACTTTAACACCCGGGTTTTTTTTCTTCTTCCGTCCTGCTTTCCACTCTCTCCACCCGAACCGCCAAGGTCAGGCTCGAACTTGGGTCCTTGCATCCCGAGCTATATGCGAAAAATAAAAATAGCTGCTGGAATCATCACCGCCTATAGGTCAGAGGGATTCGGGGCGGACACGGGGGAAAGGACGGTCGTGTGGAACGGAGGAGGCTCCTGCAGCGAGCCCGCTCCCAGCTGGAAGCCCTCATCCTTCCCTCTCTCAAGCCTTCACCCCCCTTTTCTTCGGTGCCCCCCAAGATGAGGACGGCGCTTCTGTTGACCTGGACCGTATCCCTGAGCTACTTTGCAGACACAGGTATGAACTGAGGCTAACTATTTTTAAAGAAATATTTTTTTTAATTTAAGACGGGGGGAAAAAACGTCCCTGTGATGGAGACAGGACGAGGGGAGTGGGTGGCAGCTGCCCAATTTTCTGTTTGGGAACCTCCTAACCCTATATACATACATGCATACATACCCGCACGCACACAGACCCCATACAAGCCAGTTTCTTCCCTGAACAGGAGAAGTTTATGGGCATATCGTGATTATTAAGGGCTGGTTGAGGGGTGTAACGAAGGATGGGGTCCGTTTCTGGTCTGAAGGAAGGGGAGCAGAAATTTCGGTGCGCAGAAAAAGCGTGGTTTTTCTTCCTAACTCTGGGGGAGATCGTGTGGTTCAATGGTTAGAGCAGAGCTGAGGGCTGGGCTCCTGGGTTCACTCCTGGGAGTGGAAGAGGGTTTGAGGCTCGGGACTGTGAAGGGTTCGGATAAAGGACGAGATCGGACTCATCCGGACGATGCCGACGATTTTGGAGTATGTATGTCTGTATAGTATGTATGACCTTGAGGAAAACTCGCTCGGTTCCTCCGCGTCGTTGCCGCTCCCTATTATTTGGGGTGAGGGGAAGGGAGTTTGAGCAAATAACCTCGAGTGCAACCGGCTGATCTGAGCTTTTTTTGGGGGGGGGAGGATCTGCCCCCCCACACACACACACCTTGCAGTTTGATCTCCAGAGGAGGGGAGGCTCGTGTGTGTCGGTGTAGGGGGGGGGAGATTCGGAGAGAGGTGTGCCGGCGGGGCGAGGAGACTCCCCTAGCATCGCCCTGCCTTGATCCCCTCCAGCGCTCTTTTCAGTGGGGAGGGGGCGAGCTTGGGGTTAGGGTCGACCGAAGTTCCGTGTCGCCAGTGGACTCCCCCTCGTGGTTAACCTTGGACTCCTCCTCCTTCCAGTGCGGTCTCCATTCACACGCTCCCCCTAACCCAACCCAGCCCCCTCCCCTTTTCCTTCTGCAACTCGAGCCGGGAAGCGTTTTCTTCCTCGCACTTCGTTGTCATTCAGGGGCTGTTGTATTATTTAGCATCACATTCCCTTTAAAACGAGGCTGAGGATCGTGGATGGTGAAGAAGGCATTGCTTGGTAGAGAGTGGGAGAACCAGCCTGGCCAAAGCCCCCACCTGACATTGGTGTGCCCCCTGGGACCCCACCCCCCAGAAGCCTGGCTACTTGCCCATATGGACTTGGTGCCCCCTTTCTCCTGTGTGTTAGTCCTTTCAGAAGCATAAGATTGTTAGGAGGGGGAGTCACTCGACTGCCTCCCCCCCCACATAACCCAGCATTAATGGGCCAACTTGTGGTCTCAAAGGGGGGGGGAGAGTAAAAGGCACTCTGCACATGCTCAGAGTTGTGCTTCATCAATCTCACAACTGACCTATGTGAGGGAGAGGAGGAAATCCAGATTCTAGATAACCCCTATTTTTTTGGGGGGGGCACCCTTGTCTGTGTGAAGCTTAGTGGCCTTGCAGGTCAGTTTCATCTTGCCTCCCCTTGATTCTAGGATTCGGAGCGAGCCCTCATTTGGCGGCATCTCCTGGCGTAGCGGATCTTGTGGGTGCCTGCACAGGATCTGTTTTAAAAGGGCACATCTGTTTCCTTCCCTCACACAGCCTGACCCAATGGGAAACTTTTCCTGACAGGTCCCATAGAAAGAAAAAACCAGTGACTGCCATCAGAGAACACCGTTTTGTTTGCAGTGGGCTTTGTGCAGCTTAAGAGAATGAGGCCTTGTGAATGGTGGGTCAGAGAGGCATCTTCTGCCTGTCTTTTTTTTACAGTACTCTTGTTTCTTTAAGGGCCTCTCCCCAGATCTGGCGTCCTCTCCCCTTGCCTACAGCCAGGGTGGCAGGGCTCACCCCAAATCCTGGAATCAAGGTAAGGGAAGAGGAAACAGACTTGCAGCCCACCAAACTAGACGTGGGCATGTAAGGGTAATCCGGGCTCCTAGGATCAAGAGGGAGGAGCCCATTGGGGGGTCCTGTGGGTGAAGGTGCTTGCTTCCAGAAAGGATCCTGCACCTTTGAAGGTCTACGTTTCTCCCTCCAGGAGAGGCTCCCCCAGTCGCAGTGCAGGGAAGGCAGAAGTTGCCCCTTCTAAACTTCTGCCCACCATGCAGTGGGCTACTTTTAAAGGCGCAGGACCTCTTTGATTTCCCCAAGGAGGAGAGATGCTGGCCCTGGCTACCTTCCAGAGAGCTGGCCTGGTCTCCTGGCTTATCTGCTGTCAGATGCCTTCAGTGGCAGTGATGGGGAGCTCAGAAAGGTGCCCCTGGGGTAGGGTTAGGAAGCGTGGAGGGGGAGCAGAGGTGTCGAGGGGATGGGTGAGTTCACACTTACACGCCTGGCTTCGTCGCAGCCCCCCAGCTAGAACTTCCCTTTGCAGTAACACTAATGAAGGCTGAACGGTTGTGGCGCTCTTCGCCCGGGGCGGCTGCTCCTTACTGCCATTGAATCAACCTCTGCACAGGGGGTGGGGGGGGCAGTGTCTAATGATGGTGTATCTCGAGCAAGCAGCTAGAGGCAGCAGCCAGAATACGGGGAGAGTATAAGATGATGAGGGAAGAGGGAGTGCAGAGGCAGAAAGTTTGGGCAGAGAAAAAGGCTCCCAGACATTGCTATTTAGGGCAGCTCCATTTTTCTCCTTCAAATAGATCTCTGTGTGAGCAACAGGTAGTTGCAGCAGGCTCTGCACTTCTTCACCAGACGAAGAGTTCTGTGTGATTCAAAAACCAACATGCTGATTCACAAACTTGGATTTTGAATTGGTTTAGAGACAAACATCCATGCTTGCTGTAGGCTTACTTATTTTCCAAAACAGATGTGGTGCTTGTGTGAATGAACAGGAGACTGAGGAAGTAGCTGCTGAAGTAGAAGGTTGTCTAGAATCGTTTTACGTGATATGACCTGAGTTGCTTTCCAAGAAGTACACAGTTTTTCATCACTTCACTTCTTTTCTCTGGGATCCAGTGTTGTATAATATCTTGACATGAGTAATTTTCAGATTTTTTTCCAAGTTTTAGAGGCCCTTAAAGCATCACAAGGCTCTTGTTTGTTTGTTTGTTTTTCTCCACATTTGGAATCCAGGAATAACTCGGATCTATAAAATTAGGTCAATGAAAAGGAGACTTTGGAAAGTGTGGTCTTTATTTCCTATGCGTGTATCCCATCTTTCCTCCAGTGGGCTCAAGATGGAATATATGGCTCTTTCTTTCTTTCTTTCTTTCTTTCTTTCTTTCTTTCTTTCTTTCTTTCTTTCTTTCTTTCTTTCTTTCTTTCTTTCTTTCTTTCTTTCTCACAACGACCCTATCAAGTAGGTCAGGTGGAGAGTGAGGATGTGTGCGATTGGTCCAAGGTTAGCCAATGAGCTTCAGAGCCAAATGGAGACTTCAGCTCAGGTCTCCTCCTAATAGATACACAAGGTGGTGTCCTGGATAGAATGGAGGACAAGGATTCAGGAGCTGTGGGTTCAAATCCCTGATCAGCCATGGAAACTCACTGAGGGAGTGGAACTGGCCAAACCATTCCTTAACTATCTCAGTTGCCTTGCAACCGCCATTAGGGTCATTATAAGTCTGTTCTGACTTGATGGCACATAACACTAACACTTCTACAACTACAGCTCTGTAACTACTACACCACAGGGCCTGTAGCCTCTAAGATCTTCAGATTTCTTTATTGTCATAAAAAGCTTGAAGGGGGGGGGGTTCTCTCTCCTTCAGCCCTCCCAGGACATAATGCGCAATAGCTTTACTAGTGGCATCCACCAGTGACCTCAGTTCAGGGTCATCAGAATTCACAATTTGGAGATCTACATTCTTAATTGGTAGAGTTCCCCCCCCCCCAAGCTTTGATGCTCCTTTCAGCACCTTAACTTTTCTAGTAAGGAGCTGCTGCAAAACTGGCCCTATGGATCCTTATGATTGGCAAAGGATTGGGTGGGTGGGAGTGTTAAGGTGGGGGGAGTACAAGTTGCCTTATGATTTTGTAATAGACCTCAAATATGCATTTGTATTGTATGTATTATATTTGTTCCATTATATCCTGTCTCTCTTATCCTCCCTTTACCTTCACAATAGCTCTGTGAGGTCTGATGGAGAGTGTAAGGGCTGGCCCAAGATCAATGAGTTTCACCGTTAGCGGGGATTCGAATCTGAGTCTCTTGAGTTGCACCCAAATACCCTAACAGCCATGCCACACTGGATTTCATGTATCTGGCAAGGCTTTGTTGTTTCAAAATTGCAGTGATAGCAACCCAAAGGGATCACCTGTATCGGTCTCAGTGGCATCCTAGACATGTTTACTCAGGAGCAAGTCCCACTGATTGGGCTTCTCCCTATACAAGGGTATATAGTATTGCCACCCAGGCTACTGAAATTGAGATGTTTGGAAGACAGGAGTGGATTTTTGTGACTTTGAGCAATTTTTTGAACCTAAAAAGAAATGTCGGAAGCTGATCATGTGTATGAAGATATCCGTGTTCTTTAATTCTCAAAGTTTGTCTGATCCTCTGAGCCGCTGTGTCTGCATCTGGACATTAGGTTTGTAGGAGAATTCCAAATGAACTACATGTATGAACTCTTCCTGCCATATTCTAAGGCAGTGCTTCTCAACCTTGGGTCCCAGGTGTTCTTAGACAAAAACTGCCAGAAATCTTGGCCAGCACAGCTAGTGGTGAAGGCTTCTGTGAGTTTTAGTTCAAGAACATCTGGGGACCTAATGTTGGGAACCACTGATCTATCACTGTACGTAGGGTTTTGCTTTTGCTCCCTATGTGACCTCATCTGACCTTCCCCATAGTATTCCAGCATTCTTAGGCTGGGAAAGTGGAGGAAGGCTGATCTTGAGTGTTGGCTCTCAGCCTGTAACCACTCAGATGTGTGTGACTTCTACCCGATGAACCGCTGACTATTGGCCATGCTGGCTGAAGTTTCTGGAACTAGACGTCCAGATTGTTGGGAAGGTGAAAGATTGAGACCAAGA